ATATATATATATATATATATAAATATATATATATATATACACACATTTATACATATATACATATATATACATATGGGCTTGGCAGCACCAGTGAATCAGCTGCTGAGAGATGGGAATGACCCTGAATGGTAACGAAAGGAAGCACAACCCTGAAGCTGAAGGATCCCTTAAAGGGTACAGTCCATCCAACTATCAGCTCGTAACCCGCCTCTCCACAATGTGGAAGCTCATGTCCGGGATCATAGCGGCTAAGATAAGCCGGCACATTGATCAATACATGAGCACAACTCAGAAGGCAATTGGTAAAAAATACAGACATTGAGGACAGCTACAAGTACCTTGGAATCTCACTAGCAAATGGGAACCTCGAATGAGGTGACAGGGGAAGCAGCTACGGCCAAATACCTCCAACGAGCAAGGCAGGTCCTAAGAACCCAGCTGAATTGCAAGAAGTCTTGGGCAATAAATAACTATACTCTGCCAGTAATCAGATACCCTGCAGGAATAATAAGCCAAAGGAGAAGGTACAGGCCACAGATGTTAAGACACTAAAGCTCCCAACCATGCACGGACGGTACCACCCTGAATCCAGCATCCTGAGACTGTACGCCAGCCGTAAGGAAGGAGGCCAGGGACTAGTGAGCGTAAGAGCCACTATCTGGGAGGAAACGTCCATGATTACATCAAGGATCCAACAGACGTCCTCAGTTAATGTTTTAGACAATGGGGAACAGAAGATCAGGTGCCAGAAACTCCGTCATACGAGGATAATATATATATATATATATATATACACACACACACACACACACACACACACACATATATATATCTTTTTTATGATAATCCATAATTGATTTCAACAAACTACTCTAAGGTTCATCGTGTCACAAGAAGCCAGAAATAGCTGAAGAAACCAATTTCATGATAACAAGCCTGAGTAACAAATATATTCTTTCTGTCAGACTCATTAGTGAACAAGAACTGCCTCCAAACTGAAAATTCCTCAAAGCATTCATAACATTTCAACTTAAAAACTGATGTAAAGACAGAAAGAGGAAATTCAGACATAAAGTTGTTCTCATAACTCTAGATACCTTTCCAATAAAGAAAATGATTAATTCAGAATAGTAATTCACACAACATAAAATGGAAAAAGTATTAATATATCAATCAAATATGGATTTTTTTTATGTGAATAAATATATATATATATATATATATATATATATATATATATATATATATATATATATATATATAT